CCGATGCAGGGGACACGGGTTCGTGCCCCGGTCCGGGAGGATCCCACGTACCGCGGAGCGGCTGGGCCCGTGAGCCATGGCCACTGAGCCTGCGCGTCCGGAGCCTGTGCTCCGGCCCACGAACCAAAAAAAAAAAAAAAAAAAAAAAAAAAAGACTTAAAAAAAAAAGCACACCCACCACTTTTCCAAAGGGCAGGACAAGTGAGATGATTTGACAGCTCTAAGAGTATGGAACTGGTGAACCGAAAATCTCACCCACATATTATATACCCTATTAAAACCTTTGAAACCTCCGTCACGAAACACCACCTGGATAGTGTCCTAGAAAAAGGCCTGTAGGCCAAAGTCAAGTCAGGAAGTCTTTGGAGGAATTGGGGTAGGAGACAAACCACACCCAGCACACTTCCGTGTGGGAAACTGAGCGGTCAGTACGTGAAGAGAAATCATTATATGGGTAGTGGGATTTACAGACAGATGATGCAGTTCTCTCAGATGCCTAATTAACAAAATGAGCAGCACAAGGAATCACTATTGTGGTAACCGGACTTGAAGTAATTTTCTATTTCAAAACAGATTGTTTAAAAGGGACAACACAGGATGTGAGAAGTGATGAGAAGGGAAAGAAGACAATAAAAAAATACTTCACATACTATTTTTAGTTATCTTTGATGTTCTTTCTATGTGTTACTTTACACTAAGATGTGGTGGAGGGTAACGAAGTACCTGATGAGGTAAAGTTTCTTTGTAACTTCTGAGGGGGAAGGAGGGAAAGTATATATGCAGGTTAAAGATGTAAGAAACGTAACAATCAATGTCAAGTATTCTATTTAGACCCTAATTTAGACATGCTTATAAAAAAACCTGTGAGACCAGTTGGGAAACTTAACACTGGATATTTGATACTATCTTGTGAGGTGTGATAGATGGTGCTTTTTCATAAACTGAAAAAAGTTTATTTACAGATGAGTTGCTAGGATGTCTGGGGATTTGTTTCAAAATAATGGTGGGGGTGGTGGATGAGAATATAGATGAAATAAGTCTGCTTATATCCGGATAATTTTGGAAGCTGGGTAATGAGTGAGTGGGGGATTATAGGATTCTTCTGTACTTCTGTATGTTTGCAAATTTTCTTATATTTAAAAAATGCAGTGGGAGTGATTTTGACTTTAAATATGCCTTATCACTGAAAATACTATGTACCATAATTCATCTGTAGTATTTTCTGTGCACAAGTTGGGAAGGGTGACTACAGACCCTAGCAAGAGGAAGGTGATTATATCCCTTTGAAAACCTAACTACAGATGACATAAAGATATAAGAAAATCACTCATTCTTTGGTAAGTGATACATATTAAAGTGGAATGAAAAATGTAAATTTTTAACATATCCCAGTATTTTTTTTTAGCATCTTCATTGGAGTACAAGTGCTCTACAATGCTGTGTTAGTTTCTGCTGTATAACAAAGTGAATCAGTTACACATATACATATACCCCCATACCCCTCCCTCTTGCATCTCCCTCCCACCCGTCTAGGTGGTCACAAAGCACCGAGGTGATCTCCCTGTGCTATGCGGCTGCTTCCCACTAGCTATTTTACATTTGGTAGTGTATATATCCCACTTTTTTTTTTTTTTTTTTTGCGGTATGCGGGCCTCTCACCGTTGTGGCCTCTCCCATTGCGGAGCACAGGCTCCGGACGCGCAGGCTCAGCGGCCATGGCTCACGGGCCCAGCCGCGCCGAGGCATGTGGGATCTTCCCGGACCGGGGCACGAACCCGCGTCCCCTGCCTCGGCAGGCGGACTCTCAACCACTGCGCCACCAGGGAAGCCCTATATCCCATTTTTATATAAAATTTGCTTATTTATACTTTCAGCCAATTTTTAAGTTAGAGTAATGTACTAATACTTAATAACCCAAATCTAACATTACTACATGTTCTGATAGAACAGAAAAGATTAGGTTTCTAAGACAGCATATTTCAGTCCAGAAATATATAAGTATTGGAACTAGGACTGGTTTGATATTGTAAATCATTTCTAATTACACAGAAAGGATGCAGAATGTAGTGTTTGCTTTTAGTTTATTAATTTATTTCTCAGGAATCTGACTTTCCGAATATGTTCTGTTTGGAGGTACGATGCATGCATAGCCTTTTAAAATGCCTTTGAACAATTTCGCCTCAAAATAATTAAATTCACAACATACACAAATCTAAGAGAGACATGGTATTTACAAGATTTAATAAATTCTTGCTGTTTTAGGGAAGAAATTGAGCAAATCTTTTACAGTGGGGAAACATGGACCACTGGGTGTCATTATAAACAAGAAATCAGAATTGTTCAGTGTCAAAGCCACTTTTCATGGCTTTAGAAATTAAAATTGAGTCGTCATTCTATTAATCTCTGAATGCTCAAGCCATGCAGAATCTACTTGTATTAAATATGTGGGGACGCAAATAACAGAAAAAAATACGCACGTCTGGTGAATGAAATCAGAATTACCTTTTACAATAAGAAAATACTGTTAATAATTCTTTCAAAAAGATACAGTAGTGGTGCAACAGACAGTGCCAAATTTATTTTGATTTTAAAGTAACATTTCAATTGTCATTTTTCTCTACGGATATACAGACACACACTGTAACGACTCGTTCAAAGTCTGAACGGTGATTACAATATTAAAATATAAATCAATTTAAACTATAAGGGGACATCTTCACATTCCAGGGTACATCACTGATATTTTCAAAGGACAATTTTTCTATGCCTTACATTCTTGCTTTTTGTTTATACTGTCAAAAACATTACAATTACCTTTTAAAATACTATATAAAATCGAGTTGCCACAGAAAGTTGGAATATGAACCCCTTAGATAACTGGGACAAAGCAATGTCAAAACTGAAGGAAACATTGATCTCTTTTATAATAAGTACTAAAATTGAGACCAGCTCCTTAAAAATTTTTAAACTGCTCATCACACTCCCATTTTTTCAGGGAAATAAACAAATTAGCAACACTTTCCCCACCATCATTAATCTGCTCTAAAACTACCTTTCCTACCACGCACTTCTTTTATTTTAAATTGCGCGCCTCTGTACTCCCTCAAACAAGTTCATTATTTGAAACATTTTACAATGCTTAGAAAGTTTCTGACTCCTCTTTTACCACTTTAAACTTTTAAGAACTACCTCAAAATGTAAGGGGCAATGCACTTTAACGAAATGACAAAGGTGCTTTCTACAAACCCAGTTTACAAAACAGTGAAATAATGTAAAATGTACAGTCAGCTCTCTGTGTTCCCAGATACATGAAACTGGTTGTATTGTAAGAAAAAAGCCTTTTTTTTACTAGAAACAAGAAGTGCACCAACTGATCCTAAAAGCATAGGCACCTCAGCAGCCAGATCCCTTTGAAAAGGCATCTTGAAAGTTGACTGGATTCTTGTTCAAACTTGTCATAGGCAAGAAGTAGTCTATATATGGGACACAGTTAAATATATCAAATTTATCAGTGTCAAATAATTTTGCGTATTTTAAAAACTGAATACAGCCTATGGTGGCGTATGAAACTTGTGCACAACCAGAAACGAACATATACAAAACTTCATTAAAAATCAATCTCTGATGTCTCAAACTCCACCCTGTACACCTATCAAATAGACTGAGTTCTCATTTTTCCTGGCAGGTGAAAACAATGATTTACTAGATCTATCACCAAAGGACTGGAACCATGCATCTACTGTATGATGATAACAGTTCAGAAATCTGGATGTACGTTCATGCAATAGTTTTAAAGTCATCTACATGGTTTTAATAAAGCATCAAACGGTTTTCATACATGCTACTTTCATTCTCAACTGACAACTGCCAAGTTAATTGCCGCCACTTCAGCATTATCACTAAGAATACTGGGTAAACCTTTAGCTAGAACATCAAGCAATATATGTATTTTCCCCCTAAATTGTTACTTAATACCAAGTGGGGTTGACCATCACTAAAGAGATGTGAAACCATACAAAGGCAAAAGCATGGGCGTATTACAGAACAGTAGGACTGATAGACTTATTGGAGACTGACAGACACCAGTGTTACTACAAAAGCCTTTAAAGAATGAATGCTGTTTTCAGGTCAGTGCTTTTAAGCCCATCTGCTTTCTCACCTTTATTTTCACAGTTTTGCCACAGTTGTTATATGAGAGATGTTTTATCAGTGTAATTACATAGCCACGCTGACTTTGTGAGACAAGTAGATGTTCTTCAGGACATTTTCCACATATGAAAAATGTTTTCAAAGCTGCAGGTACAGTGTGAAATTATGATTTTGATGATAAGCTATGATAAGTTATGCCTTTGGTTTCATTATGCTATTAAGTGCAGCTGCTTTTTCCAGGTCTGCCAGAGATTACTGCTAAATTAGCATACAGTGACAGCTTGAAGCGCGCGCGCGCGCGTGTGTGTGTGTGTGTGTGGTAGAGGGGGGAGAGAGGAGAGGAGGGGGACGGCTGGTATGGGAGAGTATATATACTCCTCAGGTATAACCTGAGGTAAAATCCTTTAGGATTAGGAAACCTACCAATTTCATTACTGTTTATATTTACCCAAATAGGGGGAAGATTCCAAAATCCAATTTTGAGCTTGGAAGAAAAGTCAACAATCAATGGTAAAGACCTTAATTCAGTGTCCTATTAATAATTTTCTAGTGGTGCACTTTAGTAAGTCAAATGATTTTATATGTCTTCAGTTATTTATACCCTAAAGTTCTAGTTTCATAAATAAAGAGTGCTTTAGTATCACCTGAACTGTCTGAACAAACTCAGTATCATCTCTGAATACAGTATTGTTACATTTTTAAAGTTCTTAGTTTCGAAGTCTGTTGTATTCACCTTTCTCTCAGTCGTTATTTCTTGACTAGCCTTCTCTTTCTCCCCAAATATCGCAGCGTGCAACTTTATGATATTGGCCAACTATAATGTTCCTCACACTATTTTGTGCAAATATATCTTTATTGAACAACTAATATTAATTTTTTTCCACTAAATTAGGATTATGGCACAAAGTATTATCTGTGCTGTAAACATCATGGACTCATCACAAATTGGAAGGAGGGGGAAAACGGCTCTAGGGACTGCAAACATTTCTTAAAGAACCACAGCTGAGCTCAAGATTCCAAGTGGATTTTGGAATGGATTTACATTCAGCATACATTCACTGTGCTATTGGCGAAGCGCAGTTTTACGAGAAGGTCATTCATAAAATCCTAATTTGTAAGGACTTGGCTATTTTAAAAACCAGTGGCCTAATAAAAGCATGCAGTAACTTAAAAAATATATCTATTATGCGGCGTAATTAGGTCTTAGTTACCAGTGTTGGTATAGCTTGATGAATCACTGTACAAGCAAAAGGGATCTTATTACCTCTGATTGTACTTTCGAACAAAGGGCACGATATGCCTAATTCCTGACTGCTACAAATCACATTTTAAAACATTTTGTTTGTGTGTTTGAAATTACCCCTGAAGAAAGCAGCAATTACAAATACCCTTGTTATTTTGCCCCCCGCAGAGAAACATCCTCTGCTTGCTTTTCCCTGTCCTTCTCTTCGGTAGGAAGCAACAGGAAGAAGCCTGGGGAGCCTGGGGTTTTCCAGAGAGCTTGTGACCAGGTATGTCTGCTCTGGCAATTCACAGTTTGTCTGCATAAACTGTAACATGTCACATCATGAATCAAAGTTCTGGTTCATAAAATAAGTAACTTATTTTATAAGTAACTTTAACAGCAGTAACTTTAACAATTGGGGTTGCACAGAAGAGCTCTTGACTTCTCTGTGTACATTCTTTCAGGAGTGAATCCTTTCCCCATTTCAAGTATCCCTTTCTATCTGTAACTCGGCAATGAGTTAAAAGAAAGGGGGAAAAAACCCTCCCCATTTTTCCTTTATTGAGCACAAGCGGCTGCATTGTCACCCTCCCCCCCACCATGTTATCTGAAATGAAAAGGCTGGGCAGATGAACAGATTCCCCAGGTTTCCTTTTTTTCTAATGGGCGCTCAAAGCTTCACTCTCAACCTAGTGCAGACTCTTGGGAATTCAAGTGTACCGTGGCATCTCACACTGCTCACAGCGATTTAGTGCGGGGTGGTTCAGAAAGGTGCAGCTATCACAATTCCATGGAGCCCCTTCATAGTCTTCATCTCGGGGTTGTGTCCGAGGACTCTGTTTGGAGCTACCTGGATGCTCTGAGAGAAGTTAGGAATAAAAGAGAGAAAACAGAAAACAGAGTGATTTCTTTGCTAAGTATAATCCAAACGCAAATTCAAAATTACCCCCCAAAAGCAAGGAAAGTGGTATTGTGAAATGAGAACGCCAAGTAGTATACATAGCTACTAGAAATGCAGAACTAAATAGTAAGTTTATATTTTCTACTTTGTTCTCAACAATGTACAAGAAGTAGATAGAAGTCCAGCACAGACTACCTTCCAAGTTAATTAATTATCTCTCGATAGTGGATAGTTATGCTATATTCCAGCCAAGTGAAAGTAATGAGAAATGTTATTAGTTCTGAAGTTTTCCCTCACAACTTCGGCCCGCCCATGACTCCCACCCCCCCGTTGTACTAGTCATACTATAATCAAACAACCATTGATTAAATGTGTGCCTTCTTCCGTGAGACTTTCAGCTCCACAATACGCATGTTTTTAATCATAATGACCTATAAGTGGTGTGACAGTTCATAAAAAACATTCTATCATAGGGTGGATGGGTATGTCGATCCTTTGATAAATTCAAAGTAGCTGTCCCTGTTTTACAAATCAGGTTTTTCCAGGACCAGAGGTGTAGCTCCAGGAACAATCCAATCCAAAGCCCACAATCCTTTACCATTCCCAAATCCCAGAAACCTCCCCTATTTATCTATCTTAAGAGGCTTGTAGTAGTGGGGGGTGGGATGGATCTGGCCTTAAGGAACAAAGTCCACCTAGGAGAAGCTTGCATTTCTCCTCCTATGCCTTTGAGATGCCAAAGGTCTAGCTGGTCTACTAGGAATGCTTATCTAGGCCATTTTCAAAATGCAAATTTCAAAGGTAACTAACTAACTCTCATCAACAAGAAAAAACTAAAGGGAGGCTAGGTAACATGGAACTTGGCCTGTCAAGGACAAATACAGATCTTAAGTGTCTTCTCTATAAATATTAGTAAAAAAGGTTTAACCATCTAAATAGGTGACCTTGATTTCTTCAATCTGCCAGAAACCCAATTTGAATCCGAACTCTTTTGTAAGTGGTGGGTTTCATGTTACCGTACCTGGTTCATGGCTGACATTTTGGCATGGGAAGTACTGGGTCTCTGCGTGTTTGGATGTATGTATAGATGTGTTGACTGTGGTAATACCCCACACCTACAGTCTACAAAAGAGCTCTATTTAATTGGCTTCAATGAAATTAAGCGCTTATATAAATACTCAGAAATAGAAAACAAACCAAATGAATTTCAGGACCATGATCTAGGATTAATTTTAATGAATGAAAACAAGTTTAAGTTTGTTGGTTTAATGAATACAGACCATAGAGTCATTTGACTAGAAGTCAAATAAGATGTTACTATTCCTGTTACAAAATTTGTCAGCAAGAAAATAAGTTGATATGATGAAACTTTAAAGGTAAATGAGATGAGAGTTTTTAGGTGAACTCTTTAGGAATAATGTTTTAGGACTGCCTACACGGAACAGTTTCTCCAGATTTTTGGTAACTTTTGAAGCCGCTAAATTAAGCAATGGGAATTCACTGAATATTCGGATCGTTTCCAAATAAGATACTAGAACAGTAACTGCTAAACAAGTCTGTTTGAGTTCACTGGTCATGTCTTGGGACCCACTAAAGAAAGAAATTAATTAGGTTATTAAAGAAAGTAGGTTATAGGATATGTTCATAGTTTGTCATACCAGCATTTCCTGATTGGCAAACAAACAGTTCATAATTACTTCTTAGCTTTTGCTAGAATTCTAATTAAAATATGTAAGTAAAAGTACTAAAAACTAATAAGGAAAAACATCTTTGTATGCAAGGAAAAAGAAGGGGCATAAGGAATGAAAGTGTGTTTTGTTAAGAAAGTAATTTTGTCATAAAGGTGGTTATTTCTGAACGGGAAAGAAAATAAGGGAGAAATGAATACGAATGTAGAAAGTTGTAGAAGGTTTGTGAGAAGGGAATTCTATGGGTGGTAAGGACTAAGATTAAATTTGAGTGTGGGAGGGAGACGCGAGAGGGAGGAGATATGGGGATGTATGTATAGCTGATTCACTTTGTTATGAAGCAGAAACTAACACACCATTGTAAAGCAGTTATACTCCAATAAAGATGTTAAACAAAATAAAAAGTACACTAAGAGGAAATCTTAAAAGAAGAAATTTAATGTTAAAGGGAAAGTGGTGCAAAACCTGAACTTGTTATCTCTCTGTTAAGAGTACAAAGTTTTTTTTTTGTTTTTTGGTACGCAGGCCTCTCACTGTTGTGGCCTCTCCCGTTGCAGAGCACAGGCTTCGGACGCGCAGGCTCAGCGGCCATGGCTCACGGGCCCAGCCGCTCTGCGGCATGTGGGACCGGGGCACGAACCCGTGTCCCCTGCAACGGCAGGCGGACTCACAACCACTGCGCCACCAGGGAGGCCCTCTATTAATCTGCTTTTGATAACATATTGTAAAGTCCAGAACTTTCAACTTGTTTTGTATTTATTTACTTGGCCTTGTTTTCTAGATACTATTATTTTTAGAAGACTCTGTCCCATATGGTGGCCACTAGAAATGCAGCCACTCTGAATTGAGATGTACTCTAAGTGTAAAATATACACTATATTTGGAAGATTTAGTATGAAAGAATGTAAAATAAAATACCTAATTTTATATTGATTTCATAGTGAAATGTTACTTCACTTTTCTCTTTTACTTTGGCTAACAGAAAATTTTAAATTATGTTACGTGGCTTCAACTGTTATTTCTATTGGACAGCACAGCCTTAGAAACTCCTTAAGGGAAAAAAAAGGTTGGCCTTTACTTCTGAGAACTCTACATGGGTTTAACACGTGTGTTTGGACATTTTGCACAAACTCCAGACACACAAGTACAAACCATCTGCAGCTGCTGCCTGGGTGTCACGGATATCCTCCTGTACTCTGGAGGTCACGCTAATTCTTCGGGCTTTCCTCTCAACTGTGCAGGTGTCTGATGAGTCTGCATGAGAAGAAGCAAAGCCAGGAAGAAGGGATCAAGCTGTTCATTAGAAGAGCAGACAGGCTCACAAGGACCTTTCACAGAACACACACAGTTGAGTATTTACTCTATTACCTCATGCTACCTTTATTTCTCCCGTGAAGGCAAGTGCCATATTTAATACTGCTCTTACAGCCCCTATCCAGAGCAGTGGATAAGGTTGTATCCACTTTTTCCATCCTAATTACTTGGAATAAATGACTTATTTCACCAGTTTTCCACTTCCTAGTGAGTTAGGGGTGCAAACTCAGTATAATTAAATGTCAATATGAACACAAAATTTGGGAGATTATACTTTAGCAATTCCCTGATTAAACCCATAATTTTCTAGTAACTACTGCTTAAAGTACACCACCCATATAAGGCTAACCAAAGAACACAGTGCATTAATGGTAACAGTAAACCATAATAGCAGTACTTGAACAATCAGAACCAACTCAAAGTAATACTATATACTGATAATACATACTCCCCAATCTTTTCATAAATTCCAGTTACCTGTGTGTGCAAAAGCCTAGCAGACACTTCACAACATGGACTGCAGGCACACCAATTACCAATTTCTTGCTAGAATACTGTTTCTATTAATTTATAGGTAGGTAGTAAGTAGCGTTAAGTAAAGACAAAAAATGGCAGACTTCATAATATGATTTACCCTTAGGAACCAAAGAAAGATCTTACATTTTGTAATCAGTTCGGAGCCCATAAGCAGCCCTCTAGTACAACCTACCTTTGGAAATCAGTGCTCCACAATCCTAAGCGTGGGGCTTAGGCATTTAAACACTGTTATCAGAGGAAAACAAAAGCAGAGTGAACATCTTAGGCTCCAGAGAACAGACTAAGGTAAAATTCTGCTTCTTAGATCTGTTAACCACTTTTATAGCACCACATACCTCCTCTTCTCACTGACTCTTACAACAACCCTGTACAGAAGCACCTCTCTGGATCTGAACAAGGTCAGGTGGCCAAGACAACCAGGACCAGCGCTCAAGTTAAGTTGTACCACACTGAGGTCAGTGCTCTCGCCACTATGAGTTACCAATGTCAAGGTTGGGGGCGGGGGGACGACGATGACTTTCTGAATCAGCTGAGGGAGCTTATCTCACACACACACACACACACACACTTGCGTCGCTTAACTACAAAGTCTGGTCCAAAAAGATTTCTCAGTCTCCCTTTCTGTCTTTCCTTTCTCTCACTCTAATTATCACACTTATTATTCAGATAAACATCTATATTCCACTTGGATATTCTAGGTCTTCTGCATTTCCATACGAATTTTAATTTCTACCAAAAAAAGAAAAAAAAACAGTTAAATCTGGTATTGCATCAATCTGAAAAGAACAGCTACCTTGATTTAATAACAGACATGGTTTATTTAGGTCTTCTTTAATTTCCTTTGGCAGTGTTTTATAATATTCAATGTACATATCTGGTTAAACTTATTAGTAAGTGTCATTTTTTGGATGGTATTGTAATTATCCTTTTATTTCCACTTTCCAATTGTTGGATAATATATATAAGTATGGTTTTTGGATCCTGACCTTATATCCCCAAACCTTGTTAAGTTCACTTATTAATTCTAATAGTTGTTTTTTGGTATCCTTAGATCTTCTTTGCAAATAATCATGTCTTCTGATTTTTTTTTTTTTTTTTTTTTGCGTTATGCGGGCCTCTCACTGTTGTGGCCTCTCCCATTGTGGAGCACAGGCTCCAGACACGCAGGCTCAGCGGCCCTGGCTCATGGGCCTAGCCGCTCCGCATGTGGGATCCTCCCGGACTGGGGCACGAACCCCTGTCCCCTGCATCGGCAGGCGGACTCTCAACCACTGCGCCACCAGGGAAGCCCCTTCTGCTGAATTTTATCAGATGGTTTTCAGTATCTAATGAAATGATCATATGCTTTTTCTCCTTTACTTTCTTAATATTGCATTCCTGAGGCTAAACCCAATTTGGTCATGATGTATTATCTATCTTTTGTTCTACTGTGAATACTTTATAAAGTTTATGTTATGAGGGTTATTGATCTGTAACTTTGTTTTCTTTTGGGGAGGTAGGTAATGTCTGTCAGGTTTTAGAATCAGGGTCCTACTGGCTACATAAAGAAAACCGGAAGCATTCCTTCCCCTTATTTTCTCAGAGTTTGTATGACTGGCATTCTCTCTTCCTTAAATATTTGATAGAATTCACCCACTGGTGCAACCATCTGGGTCGAAAGTTTTCCTTCTGGGAGAACTTTCGATAATGGATTCAATTTCTTTAATTACATATATAACTAGTTATATTTCCATCTTGTTCTCAGTATTGGTAGGCTATATTTTTCAAGGAATGTGTCCATTTCCTCTACGGTGTCGAGTTTATTGGCATAAAGATGTTCACTGCATTCCCTTATTTTAACAGGTAGCCTCATCTTTCATTGCTGATTTTGGTAATCTGTTCTTCTCCGAGATCACTCAACCTGAGAGTTTACTGGCTTTTTTTTGGCTTTGATGCCTTCTTTGTATTTTCTGTCTCATTGATGTTGTTTCTTGTATTTTCTTTCTTTCTTTTCACTTACTTTGTTCTATATTCTTAGGGTAGAATTTTATGTCATTGACATTAGATCTCCTTGTCTTATATGAGCACTGAAGGCTATAGATTTCCTTCTAAGCACTACTTTAACTAACTGTTGTAAACCAGCTCCTGGAAGGTAACCTCGAAAATCTTGAAATTTCTCAAGAGACAAGAGTGTCCTTGTTAATTATGGTGGGCCCTTCAGACCATAGAGTTTATGCTAACTAATTAATCAGGTGGCTCACAGTGGACATATCCCTTAAACAGGGTGAGTCCTCCCACAGCCCTTGAATCAATTAACTGGATTACCACTAGGGAATGCTTCCTTAGTAGATTCAAAGCTGGTACTTGGTAGTCATCCACTAAGATTCTTCTTTGTACCATTTTTAGACAGCAGTAGGCTATTTTAAATGCAGAGCAGTCAAAACATCCACAGTATTGGCTTGGCCAAACAGTTCATTCAGGTTTTTCTCTAACATCTTTCAGACAGAAAAGCCTGAACGAACTGTTTGGCCAACCCCATAGTATTAAACAAAAAAAAGAACATGTACTGCATTGCCACCTATAAATGAAATACTTAAAACACTCTGTACCGAGTGTTGCACACAAAGCTGTTTAGGTTAGGTAACATTATTTTGTGTAGAATTTTAAATTCTCTGATTCATCAGTTTGATGATGTGATTTTAAAATGTTACCCCCCCCCCCCGTTGGTAACTTTTCTAAGTAAAGGCCTTCTCCAATATTGTATGTCCTCATGATCAACCTACCTTGAGTTCTTTAAACCAAAGAGGATTAAGATATGAAATGCATACTTCACCGCAGGCTTGAGAATTATAAGAATGGAGAAGGAAAAGATTAATTTTTTAAGATACTGCAATGCTAGTTGTACATTTGGTACATAAAACTCAAAAGATTTAATACCACACAGAAATGATTTAATAACTATGCAAAAGTGATTCCTCAAATCTTGGTCATGTAGGATTTCCTTTGTCCTAGTCCCAATGTAATTGTTATGCCTGCCTGTTGAGTACACAAGGATTCTTCCCATTACACTGTAAGAAAGAATTATCTTTTAGGACTATAGTTTTTATAATGCTGAGTAAATTTAAACTACATTATATACAGTTTCAACTTATTCTGGGGGGAGGGAGACTGTAGAAGAACTTGAGCTCACCTGCTCTCACCAAGACACCAAAATCACAACAAACTGCTGAACAACAATCAACAAAAAAAAACACTGGAACCTGCCAAAAAAGATATTCTACATCCAAAGGCAAAGAAGCAGCCACGAAGAGATGGTAGGAGGGGCACTTTCCCCATATAATCAAATCCCATACCCACCAGGTGGGAGACCCACAAACTGAAAAATAATTATATGGCAGAGATTCTCCCAAAGGATGAGGGAATGTAAATTGGTATAGCCACTGTGGAAAAAACAGTAAGGAGATTTCTCAAAAAACTAAAAATAGAGCTACCATACAATCCAGCAGTCCCACTCCTGGGCATAATATATCTATCTGGAGAAAACCATACTTCAAAAAGATGCATGCACCCCAGTGTTCACTAAAGCTCTATTTACAATAGCCAGGGCATGGAAGCAACCTAAATGTCCATTTACAGAGGAATGGATAAAGAGATGTGGTACATATATACAACGGAATACTACTCAGCCATAAAAAGAATGAAATAATGCCATTTGCAGCAACACGGGTGGACCTAGAGATTATCATACTAAGCAAAGTGAGTCTGAGAAAGACAAATATCATATAATATCACTTATCTGTGGATTCTCAAAAAAGGGTACAAGTTCACTTATCTACAAAATAGAGTTATAGATAGACGTAGAAAACAAACTTGGGGGTAAGGGTGGGAGGGATAAGTTGGGAGATTGACATAGACAGACACACTACTGTATATAAAACAGATAACTAATAAGGACCTACTATACAGCACAGGGAACTCTACTCAACATTCTGTAATGGCCTATATGGGAAAGAATCTAAAAACGAGTGGATATATGTATGTATAACTGATTCACTTTGCTATACACCTGAAACTAACACAACATTGTAAATCAACCATACTCCAATAAAAGTTAAAAAACAAAAAGAAAACTCATGGGGACCAGAAACCAAAAATCTACAACAGATACACACACAAAAGAGAAAAAGCAATCCAAACACAACACTGAAGATAGTCATCAAATCACAAGAGAACAAAAGAGGAAGAGAAAAGACATGCAAAAACAAATCCAAAACAATTAGGAGAATGGCAACAAGCACATACGTATCTATAATTACCTTAAACGTAAAAGGACTGAATGCTCCAACAAGGAGACACAGACTGGCTGAATGGAAACAAAAACAAGACCCCTGTATATGCTGCCTCCAAGAGACCCAATTCAGATCTAGGAACACATACAGACTGAAAGTGACAGGATGGGAAAAGATATTCCATGCAAATGGAAATCAAAAGAGAGCTGGAGTAGCAATTCTCGTATCAGACAAAATAGCCTTTACAATAAAGACTGTTACAAGAGACAAAGAAGGACACTGCATAATGATCAAGGGACCAATCCAAGAAGAAGATATAACAATTGTAAATATCTGTGCACCCAACATAGGAACACCTCGATAAGGCAAATGCTAACAGCCTTCAAACTAGAAATTAACAGTAACACATTCATAGTGGCAGACTTCAACACCCCACGTACATCAATGGACACATCATCCACACAGAAAATCAATAAGAAAACAAAGGCCTTAAGATGACACATTAGACCAGATGCACTTAATTGCTATTTATAGAGCATTCCATCCAAAAGCAGCCGAATACACATTCTTCTCAAGTGCACATGGAACGTTCTCCAGGATTGATCACATGCTGGGCACAAACTGAGCCTCAGTAAATTTACGAATATTGAAATGATATCAGCATCTTTTCAAACCACAACACTATGAGATTAGAAATGAACTACTACAAGAAGAAAAGTGCAAAAAACAAACACGTGGAGGCTAAACAACATGGTACTAACCAACCAATGGATCACTGAAGAAATCACAAAATGCCTAGGGACAAATGAAAAAAAAGCACAACGATCTAAAACATGGACACAGCAAAAGCAGTTCTAAGAGGGAAGTTTACAGCAATACCATCTTACCTCAGGAAATAAGAAAAATCTCAAATAAACAACCTAACCTTACACCTAAATTAACTTGGAAGAGAACAAACAAAACCTAAAATTTGTGGAGAAAGAAATGAGACAAAGAAAAAATAGAGAAGATCAATGAAACTGAAAGCCAGTTCTTGGAAAAAGGTAAGCAAAATTGATAAACCTTTAGCCAGACTCATCAAGATAAAGAGGGAGAGGGCTCAAATCAATAAAACTAGAAATGAAAAAGGAGAAGTTTACAACAGACACCGCAGAAATACAAAGCATCCTAAGAGACTACTACAAGCAACTCTATGCCAAAAAAATGGACATCCCAGAAGAAATGGACAAACTCTTGGAAAGGTACAATCTCCTAAGACTGAAGAAATAGAAAATACGAAGAGACCAATCACAAGCACTGAAATTGAAAGTGTGATTAAAAATCTTCCAACAAACAAAAGCCCAGGACCAGAGGGCTTCACAGGTGAATTCTATCAAACATTTAGAGAGGCGCTAACACCCATCCTTCTCAAACTCTTGCAAAATATAGCAGAGGGAGGAACACTCCCAGACTCGATCTACAAAGGCCACCACCACCCTGGTACCAAAACCAGAGAAAGATGTCACAAAGAAAACTACAGGCCAATGTCACTGATGAACAGAGATGCAAAAATCCTCAACAAAATACTAGCAAACAGAGTCCAACAGCACATTAAAAGGATCATACACAATGATCAACTGGGATTTATCCTAGGGATGCAAGGATTCTTCAGTATCTACAAATCAATTGGTGTGATACATACATTAACATACTGAAGAATAAAAACCATACGATCATCGCAATAGATGCGAAAAAAGCTTTTGACAAAATTCAACACCCATGTATGATAAAAACTCTCCAGAAAGTGGGCACAGAGGAAACCTGCCTCAACATAACAAAGGCCATATATGACAAACCCACAGCAAACATCATTCTCAATGGTGAAAACCTGAAAGCATTTCCTCTAAGATCAGGCAGAAGACAAGGATGTCCACTCTAGCCACTTTTTTGGAAGTCCTAGCCACAGCAATCAGAGAAGAAAAAGAAACAAAAGGAATCCAAATGGGAAAAGAACAAGTAAAACTGTCACTGTTTACAGACAACATCATACTATACATGGAAAATCCTAAAGATGCCAGAAAACTATTAGGAGCTCATCAATGAATTTGGTGAAGTTGCAGGGTACAAAATTAATACACAGAAATCTGTTGCATTCCTATACGTGAACAATGAAAGATCAGAAAGAGACATTAAGGGGAAAATCTCATTTACCATCGCATCAAAAAGAAGAAAATACCTAGGAATAAACCTACCGAAAGAGGTCAAAGACCTATACTCTGAAAACCACAGGGCACTAATGAATGAAATCGGAGATGACACAGAAAGATGGAAAGACAGACCATGTTCTTGGATTTGAAGATTCAATACTGTTATAAATGACCACACTACCCAAGGCAATCTACAGATTCCATGCAGTCCCTATCAAATTACCAATGACACTTTTCACAGAATCAGAACAACAAAATTTTGAAATTTGTATGGAGACACAAAAGACCCTGAATAACCAAAGCAATCCTGAGAAAGAAAAACGGAGCTGGAGGAATCAAAGCTACAGTAATCAAGACAGTCTGGTAATGGCACAAAAACAGAAATACAGATCAGAATAGAAAGCCCAGAGAAACACACACCTATGGTTACCTAATCTATGACAATGGAGACAAGAACATACAGTGGAGGAAAGACAGTCTCTTCAATAAGTGGTGCTGGGAAACCCGGACAGCTACATGTAAAAGAATGAAATTAGAACATTCTCTAACACCATACAGAAAAAGGAACTCAAAATGGATCAAAGACCTAAATGTAAGACCAGATATTATAAAACTCTTAGAAGAAAAACATAGGCAAAACACTCTTTGACATAAATCGCAGCGATTATGTTTTTGGATCCACCTCCCAGAGTAATGAAAATAAAAAACAAAAAAAACCCCAGTGGAATCGAATTCAACTTAAAAGCATTTGCACAGCAAAGGAAACCATCAACAAAACAAAAGTCAACCCCCAGAATGGGAGAAAATATTTGCAAATGATGCGATCCACAAGGGATTAGTCTTCAAAATATACAAACAGTTCATGCAGCTCGATATCAAAATACAAACAACCCAATCATAAAATGGGCAGAAGACCTAAACAGACATTTCTCCAAAGAAGACATACAGATGGCCAAGAGGCACAGGAAAAGATGCTCAACGCCACTGATTATTAGAGAAATGCAAGTCAAAACGTAGTTTTGACTTGCATTTCTCTATCACCTCACACCAGTGAGAATGGCCACCATCAAAAAATCTAGAAACAATAAATGCTGGAGAGGATGCGGACAAAAGGGAACCTCCTACACTGTTGGTGGGAATGTCAAGTGGTACAACCCCTGTGGAGAACACTATGAGGAGGTTCCTTTAAAAACTAAAAACGGAACTACCGTATGTTCCAGCAATCCCACTCCTGGGCATACATCTGGAGAAAACCATATTTTGAAAAGGTACCTGCACCCCAATGTTCATCGCAGCACTGTTTACAACAGGCAAGGCATGGAAGCAACATAAATGCCCATCGACAGAGGAATGGATAAAGAAGGTATGGAAGATGTGGGGCGCGCGCGCGCACACACACACACACACACACACACACGCTGGAATATTACTCAGCCATAAAAAGAATGAAACAGTCCCATTTGCAGCAACATGGATGGGCCCAGAGATTATCATACTGAGTGAAGTAAGTCGGACAGAAAAAGACAAATATCATACGGTATCACTTACATGTGCAATCTAAAAAAATGATATAAATGAACTTCTTCACAAAACAGAAACAGACTCAGACTTCAAAAACAAACCTACAGTTAGTTACCAAAGGGGAAGGACGGTGGGGGAGGAATAAATTAGGACCTTGGGATTAACATATACACGACTATATATAAAACAGATACTCAACAAGGACCTACTTCTAGCACAGGGAACTCTACTCAATAGTCTGTAATAACCTACATGGGAAAAGAATCTCAATAGTCTGTAGTAACCTACATGGGAAAAGAATCTGAAAAAAGAATGGGTATATGTATAACAGAACCAAATTCACTGTACACCTGAAACTAACGTAACAGTGTAAATCAACTATACAAAATAACAATTTTTTTCAAGTTATTTTTTAAAAAATAAATTGTATATCGTATTTTAGTTACCTTTGACCTCTAGGAGTTATTTAGTACTTTTTAGAAATTAAGGTTTTGGGGACATTTCATTATTGCCACAGTAACATCAATAGGGTAACTTTTAAAATGCTATCTCTAATGGAAATTTCTTCAGCTTTTTAGGTGAACTGCCAAGGAATTTTCATATTCATTTCTCTGACGTCTGTGACATTTCCCTACTTACCTTTTTTAGGTGGCTTGGGTGGTACAACTGGACCAGGTTCTATGTTGTCATAAAAATTATTCATAGCTTTTGGATCAAAGTTACCTATAAAGAAAATAAAATCAGCAAGCATTTAGGACTCTTTCTGCTGTTATTTGAAATTTTTCTTGAGGAAAATATGGAAATGAAACATGTAAAAAGGGGAACTGTTTTTCCAGGGTTTCAAAACTCATTATACTATCCTACCCTTCTCCCACTGAAATCATTTTACCATTTTGAGAAAATACCCAAGCAAACTACCACTTCAGTGTCTTTCTACAACGTATCACCTAAAGGAACATTTTTCTAACTATACAGCTCATCTCTTTACACAGGATTAAGTATGTGGCGCACATAGGGAGGTAAATGAAGAAGAGAAAGGATGACTGAACTGTTTTCTCTGTTTGTTTTGATTTTAATGAACAAAACCATGAGAAAGCTCACGTTTATGTCTTTCATATTAACCTTAAAATTTTATCCATTATAAATTCAAGTATGGAAGAAGCTAAACATAAATTTACCAAGATTAATCAAGTTGTTATGATATCAGCAGCTCAGGGATTCCTATCTTCAAGAAAAGGAGAATCTTAAATGTTCCCTACAGACTTATCAATAAAAGATGATATGCTGCCAATTTCAGAATAACAGATAGAACAATCTCACCTCTCTCAAAATGTTCACTCCCTGATGCAGTGTCTGTTTCAGCCCCTTCTCCTGACATGACTCCGGCAAGATCAGTTTTGATCCAATGCCAACTTTGGGTCCTACCTTCACATCTGTGAACCCATCATCGCAATCTGCCAGTTCTGCGTAATTCCAGTTAAGCTTTGAAACTGTATACATGTTTATTTACAGAGGATGATATGTGGTACTGAAAGTTCAAATATATTGGATCTCTTGATTTCTAGACCTAATTTTCTCCCTCGACAAAAGTTTTCCTCACCAAAACCAACAATGAAGCTGCTTTTCATCAACTCGCGCACTGATTTGTATCTAACCTAAATGCCCTGCCCCCCAAAATGTCTAGATTCCTTCTCTGGCTTAATAATTTAGGCTGAAAACTCAGTATAAAATTTTTCCACAGGATGGAGGAGTAGAATTTAGTATAAAATGGATATATTTGGACCCCTTATGAAGGGAGATTTAGAACTGCTTAAGCACCAAAAAGAGCTCTTTGTTGCCCAACAGATAGCAAAAACACAGCTCTTCGTTTATAAAACCTCAATAACGGTTTTCCTTGCAGGTACTATACACAAATGCTTTTAATCCATTTAGATATGCTATTTTAAAATAATTTTCTGAAAATAATTCCTGTGATGGCTCATGAAAGCCACAATGCTATTTCATTTATTAACTAGATCTTTTTATGCTTTAAGATGCTGCATAAGTATTTCCTCAATTACTTAAGTTACAGCTGATGATCTAATTTCTAGATCCCATAAGGCTTACTAAAAATATCCCAACCAAATGTTTCAGTGTTTCTTGTTTAGCTTCAAAGAACACATTAAGCAAAAAAATTGATGCAACCTTCTAATATAGTAGCAATAGTTTGTCTAACCCCCACGCAGTAGTTCTTTCATTGCTTAAAGCTACTAGGCTGTAGAGTCCCCTAGGCTTCTGAAATTAACTTCAAGGGTACCCAACCAGATTGCTCAACTTTCACATGGAAATGTGCTTCTGTCTATTGTTCACAGAGTTCCGTATCTTTTTGGTTCCCCTGCTTCTACTGTATAATCTTGCCTTAAAATGGCAACGGGGTACTTTAAAATACAGTAGAAGCTCTCTTAGCTGCCATAATCAAGTGGCGGTGGGGGAGGGGTGGCTGACTAAAACGGAATTCTGAAGAAAAATTACATGCCAACTTTATTATTTATTTTTGGCCGCTTTGGGTCGGTTGCTGCGTGCAGGCTTCTTTCTAGTTGCGGTGAGCGGGGGCTACTCTTCTTTGCAGTGTGTGGGCTTCTCATTGTGGTGGCTTCTCTTGTTGCAGAGCATGGGCTCTAGGCGCGGGCCTCAGTAGTTGTGGCTCGCAGGCTCTAGAGCGCAGGCTCAGTAGTTGTGGTGCACGGGCTTAGTTGCTCCGTGGCATGCGGGATCTTCCCGGACCAGGGCTCGAACCCATGTCCCCTGCATTGGCAGGCGGATTCTTATCCACTGTGCCACCAGGGAAGCCCAGGCCCACTTTAATGTAACAAAACATATAAACATAGCAATATTTTAATGTTGGACCAAGACCTTTTCTTGATGTATCTGTTGACCAGACTTCTATATTGTCTTTCTTAAATTAACTACACCCATCATGATGATCTAAAGTGGGGGTGGGCAGGCAAACTTCTTCTGTAAAGGGCCAGATAATAAAAGTTTTAGGCTCTGTGGACCTGTAATACAGGTGTAAGCCCTCAACTGCTGTTGAAACACAAAAGCAGCCCCAGACAATATGCAGACAAATGGTCTGGCTATGTTCCACTAAAACTATTTACAGAAACAGAGAGCAGGCTAGTTTGCTGCACCCTGATCTATAATTCCCTGTTTTGATTTTAGAATGGAGCAAAAAAGATACTTTAAGAACATTTAATTTGAGAATAGAATCCTCTTAGAGTTTTGACTTTCCTCTGTAATCCTTTTCAGTTGTTTTCACCCGTATCTAATTCACAGTCCCTATATATTTCTTTTTTAAAGTGTTTGCCTTTGAGTCTTTAAAAAGCAGTTGCCTATGGCTTTTATAGAAAGAGCAGCTTCTCCAGCATTCATGTCAGTTTTGAAAACATTATGCCAGTTACAATACTTCTGTAATTTAAACGGGTTTAAAAACAGGCACAACTGACTCTTGGTAAACAGACAATTGAGCTGATGTGAGCAATAGTACAGAGACATGCCAGAATGCAGCCTCCTGGCTCTGTATTTTACAGAGGAAAATGAAGAATATCTCTAACCCGGCGAGTAGGGTACATCAAAGTCAATTAAGAGAGCTTCTACTGTAGTACACTTCTATAAGAGAGCCAAAAAAAAAAACCCCCAAAACAAAATACCTAAGATAGAGTTGAATGTTTTCATGTAACAGATAACATAAAAAACCGCATATGGAACTTATTTTTAAAGTGAGAAATCTGATGTTCTGATTTGGGATCCCTATTTTTACAGATATCTTAGATGACTATCACATAATATAAATCTACTAAGTTTTAGAATTAATAAACCCCAGCAATTTATAAAATATTCACAGTGCATGACTAAAAGAGGATAAATACAGAGTAACAACATAAAACAGTCTAAATGGTTAAGAACTTAATGATGAAGTTGCCAAAGTAATACTATTTTTTGATCACCCAAATCTGATCTATGACCATGGAGTGAGGGATCTCTACCAGGACTGATCTTTTAAGAGAGAGTTTTTCTCCATTATATCTGTAAAACCAAAATGATTGCTATTGAAGCAGCTTAAAACACCACACTATTACTTATGGTTTACCAAATAATCAAGTCTATACCTCTAGATTGAAGGAGGTCAACTTCTTTCAGTGTACAGTCAACATTTATCTGGAGTTGTCTGTTCATGCTTCTCAATCTTGTCATTTCCTCAGGCTAGTAAGAAAGGACCCAAAATAGCAATTGTGGGAAAGTCATTATCAAGCCCAACATTTAAGAACTGCTATTCACGTTAATCGTTCTGATTGGTTATTACCAAGAAAATGGCCCTAATCCATTAGAGGGCATGTTTAAGAAGTCCTGTATGTTTTTCAAGGAATAAAGTGGTGACATCAATATGGCCACATATAAACAAAATCTGCATATAATGTGGCGGGGCTGTAATACTACACTATGTTCTCTCATACAGATACTACCATATTTTAATCACAAAGCATTGGGAGTATTTTACTTCTACGTTTTCATGGTAAGGGAAACTAAGAATCAACCTTTTAAACAAGCAACGTCCACGATTTTAGTCTCGTCAAGGCTGGTAAAAATTACCACAGTACTAATTTTAATTAATGCTTATTAATTGTCAGGCACTATGTTCACCAGAATTCTCTCATTCTTTCCTCAAAACAATCTTCCCAGGTAAGTACTGATATCACCCCCAATTTTTACATGAGAAAGCTGAGGCGCAAAGAAGTTATATCTTTTTCCCAAGGTTATAAGAAACATAATTGATAATGCCAGGATTTATATAGAGGTCTTCCGTATAAACTTACATAGAAATCTTTTTGTCTTCTTTTCTAGATCAAAGGAAGCTATTAATCTAGTACATGAAAATTTCAGAAACAAATGGATTCCATTCTTCCTCCAACTCTGTTTCCTTCTGCCTTGACCTTTCCAGCCCAGCCTACTCCCTAGGTCTTTCAGTGAGACTCTGAAATGTGAAGAGAGCCCTATTTTTCAGTTAAATAAAGCTTTTTGGAAGCTGCTACTTCCCTCGAGATTCTGAATTTCCTTACTATTTACATATATGTACAGTAAAAAATAAGAGTTTAGACTCCAGAGGCATGGGTACTGAATCTTTCAGCACAGCACAGCTATTAACCCGGTTACTCAGGTGATTTCAACTACATGAAGTAAAAGACAATAAAATCCTATTCTGTTAAAAACATGTAGTTTTGCTAAAAACTAAATACAAAAGTGAAGAAAAATAAGCAAAATGGGTTATCTTAATTACCAATAACGCAAGATATTATGCTGTTAGGCCATATTATCAGAATAACTGGGAATGCCCATTAAATTAGCAGGTGTCAAAAGTTTTAAATGATATAACAGGCAGAATATAATAAGAGCTACAATCCCTTAGAATGCTAGGGGAACAGAAAAGTCATTGAGAAATATTTATTAGGGACTGCTTTTCTTTTCTCCTTCCTAGGGGCAAACCATGTGATGTTAACATGCAAAATGCTTACACCTTGTAATTAAATATTAAAAGTTTAAAACATATCTGAGCATTTATATTAAAGATAAAGCACTTGGTCAAGGGTTTCAAAGAGTGATGCTGTCTTCCTAGGAATATGTGAAAGAACCTATTCTTTTCTTTGTAGAATCACTGGGAAAGTACCTAAAGGAGCAAATCCTTCCTATGTATTTGTGGGGGGAAGGGAATGTTTCAGCCACAGCAGTCCTGAATAGTGAAGCTCTGTAAGTATGGAAATATTATAGTACACTTTATACTCAAGAGGCTACTACATGGGCTTATAACAACAAAAAAGCTCTCATCACCACACTCATTTCCAAAGACAGTAGAACCACTGGAACTTGCTAAAACTAAGTTTATCTGTAAGATTCCTATGTCCATCTTCATAGCTTCTGACTGAGGGAAAAAAAGTTGTTTCTGAAACATTACTACCATTTGTCCAAAAGTATACGGTATTTTCATGGGGGAGGGGGTTTCAAGATTGGTTGTGTGTAATTCAGACTTGTTTGTAAAGTACCAGAATGTTTTATATCTGACATTTCCAAGTAAAAAATTCTAAGCTTTTTTCCAGAAGGTGGCAGAAATACCTTGAGTCACCTGTTCCATCAGTTTAAGAAGTTGTCTCAGAGACCAAGGTCGAAGACCACTAATGTTCTTTCATGGTTTGGCCCCAGTTATGCATCTGGGATTGTGGGTTGGTCCCAAAACCCAATTAATCAGGACAAGATGAATGAAGGGGAAAAACTTGTGGGAGGGAATAACTGGAAGCTCTCTGATTATTAAAATCTTATTTTTCCTTCAACATATAACTTAAATTTCCCCCTTCTCCATGAAAGTGTCCCATCTTTGAACCCTACTAGCAAAAACTAACATTTCTATCTCAGAACTCTGAAAGTAGTTAATATCACTACTATTTAGTTGGCCAGCACTTCTGATTTACTGTCTTACATTATCTTTTCCCTCTCTCTCTCTCTCTCTCTCTCTCACACACACACACACACACACACACACGTACAGGTTCACAGACAGATATATGTATGTCTTTTCACATACAGATGTTGTTAAGAGATGACATCTCCCACAGCATTTAATACAATGTGTTGCAAACAGGAGACTGAGAAAAATGATGGCTGTTATGCATCGTTCACTTCTGCCCTCCTTGGAAAGGTTATTTCACTGCTCCTCTAATCATCTGCAACTGCACATATAGCTGGTCACAAACCTGCATTTCAGTTTCATGAGGCACCCAGGTTTCTAACCATTTTATACACTACTTGGTAAGAAATTAGTTTGAAACGTAAAGGAGGCAATATGTGCTTAGCAGCAAAAAAGTTAATTCTCTTGTATAATCCTACACGAGTGGGACAATGATAGTGATACCCATTTATTGAGCACCCACTTCACACCAGGCAGTTTACATATACTGCCTCTTTATCTTGACAATAATATTAAAATATACCTCTTATAATTCCCTTTTATAGATAGGGAAAATCAGATACAGAGAAGTTAGACAGAACCAGTGAGTAAGGAGTTATTCTGGCTCCAGAGCCTATGTAGGCACCCTTTCAACTACATCATGGTGCCACGAATGAGCCTCTATGAACAAAAAGGGAATTATGACTAAATGCTTTATTTCTTAATTAATTTCCTACATAATACATACCCTTATGTTATACATGTTCCTAAAGTTAAAAGGAAATCGTTTTTTCAAAGTATTTCAGATTTGTGTGATGTATATATATACCTAAGGCAGATTTCTCCAGTATCTTGTAAACAACATTTATTTTGTAAGAATACTATCTGTTGGGCATTATATAAATTGTTTAATGTATCTTACTTAATTCTAACAAAAATCCCATGAGATGGGTACTCCCCAGAAAACAAGCATAAAGGAAGCTACTTATCCAAGGATATATGAGTGACACAGAAGGAGCAGAAAGAAGTAGGATTCAAATTCACACCTGCATTGAGAGCCCAGATCTTAACCACCATGTATAATTGTTCTTCAGCCACGCGTTCCTATTAGTCTTCTATTTTACTCTAGGCCTGGCAGTGGAAACACATGGGAATCACACACTCAAATTTCTCACCTCTCAGGTATTATCACCCACATGAGACACTAATCTCTGAAGCTGGGTGCTGGCTACACAGGAGTTCACTATACTATTCTGCTTATTTTATGTTATGTTTGAAATTCTCTGTAACAAAAAGTTAAAAATAAATTATAGCATAGGGCAGCAGTTTGACTAACTTCCCTCTTTTTCTAAGGAAGTCTCATCAATAAAAGCTCTCGTGTAAAATTTTTTTTTTTTTAAAGCACTGATCTATGCTACCTTAGACAATTCTCTACTTCCAACAACAACAAAGAAATCAATAGGGCTTTAGCAGGGATTATTATAAAGCAAGAAGTTGCTAAAAAAAGTTTATATGGTTATTTTAGAGAAATGACTTCTATGCTAAGAAAATTTGTTTATACTCTACAAGTACCTAAAGGACTCCAAAGTGCCCACCCACCACTGGTGGATTCCCATTTGGGTTATGTTCTTCAATATCTCCCCCAATCAGAGGATATAATTAAGATTTTGAATGGGGAAAAAAAAATGAGGCACAGATGTGATTTACATTAGTATCATCTTTCAGTCAAAGAAAGCTTTGTAGGGCTTCCCTGGTGGCGCAGTGCTTGAGAGTCTGCCTGCCGATGCAGGGGACACGGGTTCATGCCCCGGTCCGGGAGGATCCCACATGCCACGGAGCGGCTGGGCCCGTGAGCCATGGCTGCTGGGCCTGCACGTCCGGAGCCTGTGCTTCCGCAACGGGAGAGACCCCAAAGGGAAACAAAAAAAAAAAAAAAAAAAAAAAAAAAAAAAAGGTAGCTTTGTAATTTTCCATGTGTCTTCAGTAATTAAAACCCTTCCTTCTCACTTCTGATATTGACTATACTTAGGCATTTAGTCAATATTAGAAAAAATGTCATTACATTATTAAATGTGCCTTTTTCTCAATAGTTAACTTCTCAGAAACTTCCACTGGTTCCCCATTACCAGCAGAATACAGTTCAAACACCTCCACTATTCTACCTATGCATATTAACCTGTTAAGACATCAGAAATCTCAGCTTAAATGAGGGAACCGTAAAGACTCCTTAAAGTCTGTCTTGACTTCAAGCCTTCATTACCTCATGCTCTTTTTCCCTTCTAAAATGCCTTCCCCTTTCCTCTATGACTACATAGCAATACTGTACTGTTTAGTATTTTTAGGTTATGCTATAATACTGATTTTCATACAGTTACTAAATTAAAGGAAAAAGGTGAGTTCTAATAACCTTATGAAAATCAGATGAAAGCTATAGACCTGCTTCCCATATAAACACACATATGAAACTCTGCATATAATTTCAGGGACTCACGGATCTCCTTTGAAGCCACGAACTTCAGTTAAAAACTTCTCTATGAGGGCATAGCTGCAGACATCCTGTCTGCAGGAGGCCTGATATATACACTAACTTCTCTAAACTTGTGCACTCTGAGAAAGAGATTACCCTTAGTTAAGAGACGGTAAGAACATGAGGAATGGCTCCTTGAAAAAGTAGAGATTAAGTTCAGCCCTGAAGAACAGACAGCATTTATACGTATACACAGAGCTTCAGAGGACCACTGCAGCAGGAGCGTAATGTGAGAGAGCAAAAAGTGTATTGAGTATACACGGATAAACTAGCTGATGTATGAGTTCTCTCATTACCCGTGAGCAGACACAGCACTTACCATACTGTATTACAGTTATCTACTGATAGGTCTATTTCTCCCACTAGCAGGTATACACTAAGCTCCTAGTATAGGACCACATTCATAAACTGTAAAAAAAAAAAATGCTTGTTGAACGAATCAATGTTGAAAGATGAAATGATAGGTTGGATCACAGAAAGCTTGTGATGTCACAGGATTTCAGGACACCTGTTTCCAATTTTTCGGAATTTTTAAATAACTTTAGAACTCACAAATATTCACCAACATGTTAAAAATATATTATCGAATCTTTTCGTGAGAGCAGTTCCTGATAGGACCGCTGTTAATACTATTATCTTAGTTTCTACAATTATTTACACCAACCAAATTGCTCTGCTTTAAAATATTCTAGTCAACACTTTCCCAAAATGCATATTCATCTTGATCTAACTCATGTGCATTAATGTACTTAGAAAAATAACTTTTAAATGTTTGAAAAATATATATACAATATGCTTAAAAGGATAAATGAATACATAAGAACAATGTATAAAATATTTGGTCAAGGTGTACTTTTCATTTCTTTTCGGACAGAAAGCAATTTATAGTGAATGAGATGCTTTACCTTGATTATAACTGTCAGTATTTGAAAATAGTGACGAGTCTATGGAATTCACACGAGAAAGAAAAATAAAGCATCAAATTATTCTGATGACAACAGAAGGCAGAAGTCCTTCATCCATTGTTTAAAAAACAGAAACAAAACCAAAACTGTGCCAGGAACAGAACCTAAAAGAAAAACAAACAGCCTGGACAGCCAACATGTCCACCTTCCTATCCATGCATCCTAATAGATGGTACTCACCGTTGGGATCGCAGTGGTGCAGCTGACCCTTCTGAGCCGTCTCTGCATCAGGTCATGCTCCATACTGTTAACTTCAGCCTTCAATTGCTCTAGCTCCTCTTTCTCAAGTTTCAATTGCTTTGCTAACCTCTCCATCCTTGCTCGCTGATGTAACAGCAAGGCTATAGCATTACAGATAAAGTCATTGCAGAAAGTAACATTGAACAAGTGACTGGGAAATTTCTATATGCATTGCTAATGTACGAAATACCTGTAAAGAACCCTGTCATTCAACTTCAGGTGACATTTACTCTCATGTCTTTCTAATGCTATTCTGCCTTCAAATCTGCTTTAATTTAGCTCTTGTAACTTCTGCCAAAATGACACCATCTATACATTCCTCTTGTTCTATTGTCCTTCATTTCCCCAAGATTCTCTTTAACTATACCTGTGTGCGTTTTAAACAGGCTCAAAACCAGGCATACTGAATTACAATCATAATTACTTCCCTTCTTATATACTGAAAGAATACTAAATTATCACATATCTTGAAACAAACTTTTAAAATACTCTATTCTCCTTATATTTAGTTAGGTCCATTGTGAACTAACCCAATAATGTTCTTCATTACCAATCCCACTTCCTATAAATATATATTACTTATAAATATTACACCCTTCAGGCCATCCTCTTAGAAAATATTCAAATTTTTCACCTTGATAAACTTTAGTCCACCCTCTATGAATCTTTGTTTCCCACTCTGTAGTTTGTATTTTTGACAATATTGATTTCACTTGTCTATATTTTTCTCCCAGTGAATGTTCTTCCTAAAAAAGAAGTCTTTTAGAGGTCACTATTATCATGCCTATATTTTTATATTTTAAAGCAAAGTCTGTAGATGATTTTGAAGCACTAACCCTATTTTTAATAGCAATGCTAGTATCCAATATTTAATAAATACTAAATATTTAATTAAAATTAGACAGCTAATATAAATTATTTTATTTTGAATAGGAGACTGCCACCTCACCACAAAGATTAAATTTCAAAAAAAGGGTAAAATTACCTTGTGTATAGGCGTAGTCATCTGATCCAGAACTAGAACTTCTCTGATATTTATGGCTTCCCTTTTCTCCCCCCGAGCCTGGTATCACTGAAATGGGCTGAATAGGTTCTGGGGCTGCAGAACGTTCTTCTTGGTCCACTAAATTTAAAAGATTTTCAGTTGTTGCTCGGCCTACAGTAATTTTAAAAACTGTAGTTGGGTTTGGTATCATCCGAGGAGATGGTGATGGAGCGCAAGAAGGTCCAGTTGGCTGTGTATATGTAATATACACAGGATTGACACTAAATGGAGGTTTTGGTTGACTGGATATCCCTCTTGAAGGAGAACTTGAAGGTGGCGTGGTGGCTGTGTACAATGAGTGCTGATTCCGTGGAGATGGCTGATTACTGATAGGTGAAGGACTCCTATTAATTGCTGTCCCAGATCTCTGAGAGGGTTCGACTGTAATTTCTATCTTCTTCATGGATCCTTTGGGTAAGCTAGATGGTGTATATGGGAGATAGGCTACTGAATGACTTCCCTGTTTCTGATAGCTAGGAGGTCCTTGTTGATATGGATGGGGTGGAGTAGTTGAAGGACTAGGTGGCATAAAGACATGAGAACTAGGGTGGCCCAACTGGGATGGCTGTACTTGATGCTGTGGAGAGCTGAAGGGTGAAGGACATTGAGAAGGTGGTGGTGAATGGTAAGCAGGTTGAGGGATCTGCTGTTGTTTGGGAGAATACTGAGAAGGTTGATAGTTCTGTTGATGTGGATAAACAGGTAAAGGACGCTGGCTATAATGAGGCACTGGGCCCTGTGGTGAGGACTGCCATGGTGTACTCTGAGGAGTTTGTCTTCCTGATGAACTCTGAGATGTCTGTCTAATATAGATAGAACCGGGAGACCCATAAAGATTGCTTGGAATTTGTGGAAGAATTTGTAAAGCTCTTGGTACAGTCTGTCCAGAAGGGAGGTTCTGGGATACTGTAACAGTAATTGGATTTGTACTATACCGAGGTATGTGCATGTATGAGGGAGGTGGCGGTGGTGGTGGTGAAGGCCCTTGCATAGCAGATGGATTCATTCCTGTTTGAATGGAAGATGGCTGTTGAGGTGGCTGTGAAGGAGGAGTAGCTGCACTTCTGTTCTGTTCATTCATAAAAAATGGATTGTAGTTGGGAGTAGCAGCGACAACAGCTGGAGCTGAGTGTGGTTCCTGAACTAAACATATCAGCTGTTTGCCTGCTGCATGCTGTGGATCAATATGTCCATCACTTGAGCTATGTACCAGTGTTCGACCACCGTTAAGTTGCACTCCATCTCCTGGGTGGTAGCTACTAGGAGAATGAATACCCAGGTTAATATGCAAAAGGCGATTTCTGTTCATCCTGTTGTCATCTGGACTGTGGTATTCCATATATAAGTATTTGCTACTCTCCTGGGAAAGCACGCGGCAACAGGCTTCAAGATTGTTGTTGTTCTAGGGGGAAGAAATGGTAAAAATAACATTGGCAAAATGGACAAATCCTAATAGTGGGAAGTCAAGCTTTGCCACAGAATTATGTAAATATAATTGTCACAGAATAAGTAGATAACAGTATTTTAAACACAAAAAAGCTTTAAGGTCATCGACCCTGAAAAGGAGATCCCAAACAATTCATATTATTTTACAGACATTTAGCTCACATAACTAGTACTACGCCGCTACTGCTACTGCTACAGAAATGTCAAGTACCTACTAATGAACACTGACTCAACCCCAACTTTTCTGACTCCAAATCCAGGACTCATCTTACACTTGTTGCATCTCAACAAATTAAAATGCTGGGCTAATCTTGGATTCAGCACACTTGCTGTAATATATAAGTAATATCCATCATTAATATTTAAACTGATAAACATGAAAATAACCATGCATTAGTTTTCAAAAGGTAATGAAACCCCAATCAGAAAATACAATAAAAATTCCTAAAGACTCAAAACAATAAAAATTCTAAAGCAGCCTTTACTTTTCGTTTAACCGAAGTTAACCCTATCTAACTTCAAGATTATGAAAGATTAAGTTAAAAAAAGATATCAGTATAAAAACAAATCCACTTTTTTTTTTTTTTTTTTTTTTGCGGTACACGGGCCTCTCACTGCTGTGGCCTCTCCCGATGCGGAGCACAGGCTCCGGATGCGCAGGCTCAGTGGCCATGGCTCATGGGGCCAGCCGCTCCGCGGCATGTGGGATCTGCCGGGACTGGGGCACAAACCCGTGTCCCCTGCATTGGCAGGTGGACTCTCAACCACTGTGCCACCAGGGAAGCCCCAAATCCACTTTTTAAAGTACGGTTCCGTGACTTTGCCAAATTATGGTAATTTAACACAAAACCAGGTCTTGACTGCCTTAATGAAATTCATTCACACTCCCACAGTCTCCAAAGTTTTTACCCGCTCAAACGTAGCTTGGTAAACTTCCAAAATCTTTTAAAGATTTCAATTTTTTGAATTATATACACACACAAAGATGGTAAACAGCAAACTGACATTTTAGATGTTCCAAGTGACAGTAATCAAACTAATAAAAGGTTTCCTCTTTTGAAAATTTTAAGGTACTATAAGATAGTTTTCCATTAAAATACAGAATTCAGAACTATTTTATTGGCCTAAAACACAATTATTCATTACCTTTGAGATAATCTATTGAAGTTTCTCAATTATCATGACCTTCTCCGTATTTCATAAATATATATACAGATATGCACATATACACATATTACTATATTCTAGGGAAAAGTACATTTTATATAAAAATGAAAGCAAACACTTCACTTGTGCTGAGAACCAAATAAAGCTAAATGTAAAACAGGACATAAAATGTTTTAATTTTAGAGCTGAGAGAACTCTTACGGTTCGCATCTACTCCAACTCAACTCATTTACAGATGAGCAAAGAGATGCCTGGGAAGTTACATGACTTGACAACAAGCGCTTAACTAGTTAACTGGAGAGCCAGTTCTAGATTCTTGGTCTTCTGACTCCCAGTGCTCTTTCTACTATCACACAGTAATTTCAAGGGACAGGATGTTAGGCCAAAAGTACATTACTATACTGAAACTTTAGGAAGTAATAGAAAATTCAGTCAAGCAAACCTCTGTAAAATGAATTCTCAGAAATTCAAAGAATTGGCTTTATCAAAAACTCCATAATAACTTTTATCCTTCTCCTTATATAAAACTTTTGATACTAAAATTCAAGTACTTTTTAAAATACTTTCTGAGCCAAGGAAAAAAGTAATTGTTGAAATATAAGAAAACAATTAAATTTGGGCTTTTTCTTATCCTGCTTGAAACCATGCTGATCAAGGGAAGGAAGACATATTAAGATAGAAGACAGATATTGCTAGACACTATGCAAACTTGGAGCCAAAGGATTCAAACTGATTGCCAACAAGACAATGTCACTGACAGATATCTGAAGGGGGAAAAAAAAAAGATTATTAGCTCCTTCAAGTTTTTTAATAAACCTATGGATTAAAAGGAGAACAAAAACTAGAGTTTTATTTGAAACCTAAGCAGTAACAGGCACTTCACTATTTGACATTTTTATTCATTATCCTAAAATTTCATGTTTTCTACATTGAATTAGGTTGCCTAATTAGTACTGCCACAAAAAAGATACAAATTTAAATGATGCAAAGTTGGAGTTGTCAGCCTATTCAAATGTATGTCTACAGTGACAAGCTGAGTACATTTTCTTAGGAAGAAAAATTTAAAACCACAAATACAAAATATTTAAGTAGCATCTTTACGGAAGTATTTTAAAAATACCACCACAATAGATTCAAATGTCATATCTGACCTGCTAAATGTCTTAAAAAGAAAAAGCAAAGGATAAAAAATTTATCAAATGATAAATATGAAGAATAAAGAAATAAAAATTGTTTAGCTGGATAAAGAGGTCAGAAGTTTTAAGAAGACATATGTGAACACTCATGAAAGGACTGAGCCAATAAAGCATCATACCCCTAAAAAGTGGTCCTAAACTGGGGGATGATAACCTAGAGAGAGGCTTTAATGCTTGTGTATTAAGTGCAAACTACTAGACAGGGAGGGAGGGATAAATTAAGAGTTTGGGATAAAATAGATAAACAAGGACCTACTGTATAGCACAGGGAACTATACTGTATTCAAAATCTTGTAATAACCTATAATGGAAAAGAATCTGAAAAAGAACGGATATATGTCTATGTGTAACTGAGTCACTTTGCTGTACACCTGAAACTAACACAATATTGTAAATCAACTATACTTCAATTAAAAGGAAAAAAAGGCAAACTACTGAGTCTTATATATTTTAATGCAAACAGAGAAACTTTCCAGAGCCAGCAGGTGGTAAGTGTCCATACTGATGAACAATATTAATCCCAAAGGAACAAAAAAGTAAAAGAACAATGTAAGTTATTAACAAATGTTCACTGAGTTGAATTTAAAGTTCCATTCTTTCAATTTAGTAAAACGAAGACAATAAGCCTTGAAAAAATAAAGGGCTAAATAAAATTAAATTAAAAAAACAAGGTGGGGGCCCTAGAATAAGTTAGGAAGGTAACTGCTAGGAAGTTGGTTTAAACTAGAAGGGTTTCACTCCAGTGGGAAGTACCTTTGCTCTACCACAGACCAAAATGGGGCTAAAGTAAAGAGTGGAAATTCAGACTGGAAATGTTATGGTAGAAAAAATAAAGACAAGCTATAACACAAAAACGAGACCTAGTAGAAGGGCTTGCAAACAAAGGAAGCACCTCTGTTACCACCACTGATCTGTGAGTCTCTATTTGCAATTAACCTCAACTATATATAGGTTTACATTATATCCTGAGCAGCTCACACTGTAAGGGAGAAGCTTGCATATTATGCAGTAACATAGAGTTTGAACTGATTGTGTAATTACGGAAGTCCAGTGGGCAGGACAGAAATACTGCTCCCAAAAGTCAACCAACTAGGGAAATGCTGTAACCCAAAACACACTGCGATTCTGTGAAGGATGATGCAAAACTCAACGGGGGAGTGTTAGGCCCATTTCTCTGTGGCCCCTTGAGTGGGAAGAGACGTTCTATCAGAGATGAAAGATTTATTTCAATAGAAGACAACAAGACAAAAGTAATGTGATTAAAGAAAGTAGCCTTCCACTTAAAATTAGATATTAGTTAAGCATTTACTAACTAGAAAAACAGTAAGAAAGGGAGGGAACTTTCTAAAAACTTTAAAAAATAGGCTAAAAAAGTATATAGTTTAAGAAGTTATAATGATAAATTTGAAATCCAAATTCAACTCTAAGGATTTGGGGACTGATGACACAACCCCCAAAATTTAAGAAGTGAAATGCATGAAGAATCTTTCTTTTTGCTACACGCCTTTATTCTTTTCTCTAAATCACTGGTTCTCAATGGGGGAGAAATGTGCCTCCCATGGAACATGAAGATTTTGTCTCCCATGGAGACATTTTTGGTTATCACAACTGCAGGGATACTAATGGCATTTAGTGGGTGGAAGCCAGGGATGCTACTAAACATCCTACAATGCACAAGGCAGACCCCCACAACAAACAATATATCCAGCCCAAAATGTCGACAGGGCCAAGGTTGAGAAATCCTGCTCTAAATGTTCCCCCAACATAAACAAGAAAACTTAACTGAGTTCTAGTCACTACAACACAAAGTCACCTCTAATAAGGAAAACTGTAACTTTAATATCACTATCATTGGTGGGTAATCTACCTGTAACATGCACTGAGACACCACACCCTCCGGAATCTCAGGGAAACGTTGTCGGAGGTCATGGAGAACCTGCGTATCAAGCTGTGGACTGTTTTGCGCCATGCCAGAGCAAATGGTGGTCAAGCTTCTCTTATGAAATGGATGCTAATCGGTCTTCCAATAGTAATGATCTTCCAATACTGCAGTCATTTTCTATTAAAAGAAATTAAAGTATGGTTAAATTTAATTACATATTTCACTTTATTCAAATAGAAACCATCAATACATTAAAATGAGCAATCTAAAGTAAGTATACCAAATTCTAAAGTTGGCAAATGGACAAATTCTACTTAGCCAAAGACCTTTCTGATGGAATATATAGCTAATCACTGGTTTAAAAACAACAACGACAGAATTCCCAAACCTTCAGTTCCATTTTAATGCTTCAAAAATGAAAAGAGCAGCAGCTAGATTAAAAATACAGAGTATTACTATTTGGCAACCATATTTTTCTAAGTCTTGAGAAATCCTACTTATGTATAATCACTCATGTTTTCCTACGGGCTATCACATCACTCCTCGAAAGCGGGATAATCATTTTGATGTCTGAAGTAGTAAAATCAGGCAACAAGAACTGATAATAACACCACAAACCACACATGTCCTGTTTGCCTTACATTCTCCCTGTACTTTGAAGCCAAAAGGCTTGAATTTGAAGTCTGAGTAAAGCAAACCCAATGTCTAAATGAAACTACTGGGCAAACAAAAATGGAAATGCAGAATCCTTCACTTTCAAAGATGATGCTGGTGGTCCATCAGTAGCCAGACTTGCCTAGCTAAGGTTTCACCTAGTTCTGGTGCAACTGGCACAGGTGCAAAGATGCCAGGATTTGGGGGCACAGTTTGAGTAGAGGCAAGTGACCCCCAATCTCACTGGTATTAGTCAAGTTAAGCACCCATGTAAATAAAGGCAGCTAGTGAAGTAATAATGAAATCATAAATCAAGTGGCACCATCAAGGATCAATTGACTGACCCATTTTTTCATCTATCTCTCCCATTTTTATAAAGGGAAAAAATGTACAGTGTATACCATACAATCTCATAATATTTCTGCTGTGATCACTCATGAGACGGTAAAATATTTTTAAGACTGAGAATTAAACACCTGCATCTTCATAAGATGCACTGAAATCATGATTTTAAGATGCAAGTCTAAACTACACAATAAGGGAGGGTCATCCCACACCAAATCCATTTCTTGCAAACAGGCCCTGAAACTTTAAATAATACCATTACCTGGGGCAATGTACAGAACTACAGAGAATTCTTTTTTTTTTTTTCGGTACATGGGCCTCTCACTGTTGTGGCCTCTCCTGTTGCGGAGCACAGGCTCCGGACACACAGGCTCAGCCCTTAAAATGCTGCAGGAAAATACTGAACTACTTTTGCTGCTTTATAATTAAGTATATAATTAAAAAATAATTACCATGTAATCTCAAATTTGACTTTCATTATAAGCAGGGAATTTCATTTTGCATGCAATCTCTTGACTTTTACTGGGCATCGAGCTCTCTCTTTTCTTCCTTCTAAGCCAAGACTGTCAAGAGTAATTACACTCTTTGTGTCTACAAGGTGGCAACAAAGCCCCTATGGATAAGACTCTGCCTAACCACAGGTATAAATAGCTATTAGGGACTGCTTTAATGACTTCCAACATCAACATGGAGGATATCTAGTGAATCTAAAGAAAAATCAAAATATGGGAAAAGAATAAAGATAACTTCCAATATGCACATATATATAGGCTTCCTGGCCTCCATATACAATTCTGCTCCCTGCAATGCATTCCTTAGTCTGCTCTAATCTGGCTCAAATCACTGTTCCACTGAAATACTCTCTTCATCATGTCTCTGCTGCTAAATTCAGAGGATTTATCTTCTGATTCCTATTTCCCTTGACCTTTGCAGCATCTGACACTACTGGTCATTCCTTCCTTTTTTCAGCCTCTATGATATCACACTAGCCTAGTTTCTTCCCACCTCTCTTGTCACATTAATGCTTGCCTGGTTTGGGCCCTAAGCCGCCTCCTCTTCTCATTCTACATCCTCGTGCCCAGCGATGACGTCCACTACTAAGGTTTCAAAAACATTTAAAGGCTGATGATTCCCAAATTGCTAGTAAGCACCATGCATGCTCTCTCTTAAGACTCCAGACACATAGAGTCTACTGCCTACACACAGCACCATCTGGATAAACCCGAAGACATTAGTCAATACGTATAAAAAGGAACTCCTTACCACAATCCTTCCCCAAACACTGTGTTCTCTCCATGAATGTTACTACTATTCACTCAGTTAACAAAACTAGAAACCAGAGCGTGCTCCTTGACTTCCCATTCTTGCACAACCAACTAAACAAGAATATTAAATCGAATGGGTGATGGTGTGCACCCTGGTTCTGCCATTTAGTAGCATCTAGGAAAGATACTCAACTTTTAAGCCTTTGAAACTTCATATTTAAAAATGGAAATAATTGTAGGGTTGTAGTAGAATTTAAAAGGCAAACAGTAGTAAGTCAGGAAGCATTAGTTACTATTATTCAGGGCATGTCTGAATATTGTTCTCATCAACATTATACCAGCAACTTCCTGCTGCTCTTCCCACCTCAGGTCTTGCCTTCCCCCACATCACAGCCAGAGTACCTGTTTTCTAATCTCAACCAAACAGCGCTATGTGTGATCCTGTGCATGGATGTCCCACACTGCCTCCTCTCAGGGCATTAACCCATGATCTGCCTGAGATACTTTTCTATCCTCCTCCCTCCCACTGCTTCTCCGAGCCATACTGATACCGTACATGTCAGTATTGGTGGCACCTCCTCTAAGAAGGCTTCCACTGACAGCCACCCCCCCCCCAACTTAGTCCGGCTGCCGTAACTCTCCTCCGCCTACTCTGGGCTAAAGGACCCTCCACTATGCTTCCACAGCAGGCAGGAACACCAAATACACTATACTGGAGCCACCTGTGTATCTGAAGGTCTCACATGTGGAACTGTAGCTCCACCTAGAATGTGTTATGCCAGGAAGTGGGGATGTACTCAAAGAATGATGGGAGCTTGTTACAAGGACCCGAAAGTCAGCTTGAGGAGACTCCCAATGACCAAATCTGTGACAATTTGAGCACCAAAACAATTAAGGACAGTAATGAATTACAGGCCTGTAGAAAAGCTGAACCCGTGAGTCCTTAGCCCGATAATAAATAGTTAAATAGGCACACACACAAATAAAGGCGAAGGGAGGGCTTTTGCTTAGTGGAATCCAACTGGTAAATGTGTGTAGGAAGTGCTGGAGCTGGAAAAATCATCATTTTGCAGCCATCACAGTACAGACTACTTCAATAAAGAATCATCAATGGATGCTAAATCTAGGGGGAAATTTGGATGAAGTTAGGCTATATTAATGGTCTTAAAAGTGTCTCCCCAGAGAACTGCTTATTAGCTGCAAGGGAAAATTTAACTATATAGTGGATAAATCAAACAACATCTTGGATAATCAAAATTAACATCACCAATGAGGGACAGATGGACAGTGCACGCCTCCAGCTGTGATACCGTGAGAAGACTATATCAATTTATAATATTCCAGTTAGGAATATGTAATCTGAAACTATTCATGAAAAAACAGACAAAACCAAAATGAGAAATGTTCTGTTAAAAATAAAAAGCAGGAAGTGGGAAGGTGAAAATGTCATCTTAAAAAAAGGCCAATGTCATAAAAGACAAATGCTAGAAAAATCAAAGATTAAAGGAGATACTAGAACCATGACAACTAAATCTAATGACTGATCTCAGACTGGATCCTATACTAAATGGAGGAAATGTTATAAAAGAAATGAATGGATCAACTGACAAAATTGAAATGTGGATGGTACATTAGGAAAAGTATTCTACCAATGTTAAACCTATTGAATTTAATAAATTTACTGACTTGGTAATTGTGCTGTGGTTATATACGAGAATATCCCTATTTTTAGGAATTAGGCAATGAAGCATTTAGGAGTAAAGGGCAACTTTACTTTCAAATGGTTCAGGAAAAACAATCAAATATATGTATATATGCGCATATATACAAACATGCACGCACACACATGTGCACAGAAAGGGGGAGCAAGTTACAAAAGCACAAAGGGAAAGGACTTACAAAAAGATGGCAGAGTAGGAAGGCCCTGAGCTCACCTCCTCTCATGGGCACACCAAAATTACAACTATTTACAGAGCAACTATTGATAAGAAAGTCAGGAATCTACCAGAAAAGATCTACAACTAAAGATATAAAGAAAGAACCACAACAAGATGAGTAGAAGAGGTAGAGTTGCAGTATACTCAAGACCCAAACCCCCAGGTGGGCAACCCACATACAGGAAGAGAATTACAACTGCAGAGGTCCTCCCCAAGGAAGGGGTCTGAACTCCACATGGGGCTCCCCAGCCCTGTCATCCTGCACTGGGAAGACGAGCCACCAAAACATTTGGCTTTGAAGGCCAGCAGGGCTTTCCTTCCAGAGAACCAAGGGCAGTGGGAAACAAAGACTCCACTCTTAAGTGCACACACAAAATCTCACATGCTCCAGAAACCAGGGCAGAAACAGTAATTTGAAAGGAGCCTGGGTCAGACCCACCTGCTGACCTTGAAGAGTCTCCCAGAGAGGCAGGAGGCAATTGGCACTCACCCTGGGGACACAGACACTGGTGGCAGTCATTTGGGGGAGTTTGTTCTATCATATAGACACTGCTGTGGGCAAGCATCACTTTGGAATCCTCCATCTAGCTTATGAGCCTCAGGATCCCACAGAGTCCCTGCCCACATGCCTGTAGGCACCAGTACTGGGATGCCTCAGGCCAAGCAACTAACCAGGTGGGGACGCAGCCCCACCTACCAACAGAGCAGCAGTAGCCACAGGACCCACTAGGCCCCTTCCCCACCCACCATCAGGTCAACAACAGCTCTGAGACAACTTGAGCCCCTCAGCCAGCCACGCTGGGATCCAGCCCCACTCACCAGTGTGCCAACACCAGCTTTGGACACCACGGAACCTGCAGCCAGTCGAGTCAAGAATCAGCCCTACTTATTTACCAGCAGGTTGACACTAGATCTGGGAACCCCGGCCCCACAACTACCCACCCCTGAACATGGGTCTGCCCACCAGTAAGCCAGC